AATATACATGTACTATAAGGCCTGTTCTTGATTACATCTCAAGTACCACTAACCAGTCTCTAACCTTAAGCGTTTCTCAAGCAGATTAACACCTTATAATAATACAAGCAGCAACTTAACAGTAACATATTACTATGTAAATACAATCAAAAGTTTATTAATTACTAACATGTATTTTAATTATAAAATTATAATCTTGAATGGTACAGATTTTACAACATTCACAGATTGATTTTACAACAGGATAAAATCACAGTACAGATTTTACAACAGACTAAAATTATACTCTTAAATGGTACAGATTTACAACATTCACATAATCATGAAATTCTTTTTCAAGTCTTGGAAGAAGTGTCTAAGTCTTAATCGCCCCCCCCCGATTAATAAGAACTTTTAGAACGAATGGATTCTTAAAGACATAGAGTCGATAGGAAAAGGAATATACTAGAGACATAACTCTTAAAAAATATAAAATTCCAGCATAAATAAGAACAACTGTCGAATGGATTGATTTATAACTAACCGAAAAGCTCAAGAGCTAACTTTGTAATGAGGAATATCTTCACGAGACATTTTTTAAGAGAATGGTTCGTATTCCTGTTATACATAGGGAAAGTCACAAAGTAACCACATAGTCAACCCATTTAACTGTCGGGAACTGAGTTACTTTCATTATCTACTCGGATACTAACAGTTTGAAAAACAGCGTCAACAATACAAAGTTTTTTCTTTAGTTTCTAAATGAAACTTATCGTATTAATTATACATAGACCTGCAGTAAAGCTTGTTTAATGTTAATAAGAAATCTTCTAAAGATTGGCTATTAGAACTTATTAGATTTTATAGTTCTTATAACTTATAGTTTTTATAACTTATAGATTTTATAGTTATAGTATAAACTTATTAGATTTTATAGTTAAGGTATAATTGCAGCAGATTGAAGATTTTTCGTATATATCATTAACAAAGATGAAACAGTCTGTATTAATGTACTTGCTAAAATTTCAAATATTCTGCTTACGCAACCACTACTTATCCAGAACGGAAACATAAAAAAAGGAAAAGGAATGTAAACGGATTTTAATAAAACGATTGTTATGCAAATCTTAACGTTGGTATTCCTAGCGTCAAGACGAAATCCACTAGGAAGGAATTAATGAAGTCCTGGGGGAAGGCAAACAAAAGTAGGCGACCACCCTTTTATTACGATGACTGTGAAACTTCTTGGTTATAAATGCCAGGAACTTCACTATCCATTAAAAGATTAAAGGTTCCTAAACCTATTTCTTAGCCTTGTATCATACGTGTAGCGATCTATCGCCAATTGTAGCAACCCGGCTCACATATACTGCTTGTGAATGGCAACAAGTTCCGTGCGGCTGGACAGAGTAGATAAGGTAAAACTTTTCACGCACCTCTCTCGAAAGCCAAGAAGCATACATACGCCGTATAAATCGAATTGCCACATTTATACTGTTTATACCAAGCTCAGACACGGTTACGGTCAACTTTTCCGATATTGCCGAGCACCTTAGTCATACGTAAACCCCCAATGAATCCTTAAGCATCATCTTTCAAAGGTTTTGCCTCGTCGAAAGAAATCATGGAAAGCATAGCGAAAGTAATTGGTTGGTGCGATAAAATACCAAGATATCCACAGTTGGTCAAGAATGTGGTGATTTCTGCATTCTAATTAAATTGTTTTGTTGGCAATGACATTCCAGTTATCTATTACCTCAGATCATGTGCTGATGGGGAAACGTATGTAATTGAAAGAAAGAGACTGAATAATTTTATTAATCAATAACTGCTATTAATTTGACCTAATTTTATTAAAATAAAAAAAACCCTTAAAATCTTGAGTTATTTACAAGGTCTTCAAAACTCATTAACAAGATGCATTGAAGCTAATCATCCATATAATTATTTTTATTAAGACTTTTAAGTGCGAAGAACATGATATTTAATAAATAAAGGTAACACACAAACCGTTAAAAAACGCCCCTTTGGGCGTAATATAAAAAGAAGATATAAAAAGGCTTTAGATTTTTTTTTTTTTTTTTTGTGTCTGTGATTGAAATCTACTACTGTGAATTAAATTTACCCCCGTTCTAAATAAACAAAAATCTACAACGTTTCTCTGTAAATAAGATTTCACTAGTAATGCCGTATTTCAGTCTCTAAGATATAATTAACATATTTTCAAAATTACTAATTTAACAGATCTTTTAACAGTCAGATGCATTAAAGCTGCATTTGTCAACATTTTTAGCTATACAAAAATTTAAAACAACTATCTATTAACAAGGAGTTTTTTCTATAAAAATTATCATGCATAGTTTTTAGCATTTAGCGTGCTTAAATGTACTACAGATTTAATAATCTCAAATAACTGACATTGCTTTTTTGAGGATCTTTGTTCAATGGATTAATTTTAGTTTTTCATTTTGGGAACCGTACTTTTTAACATAATTCTTGCCACAAAAACTGGATTTCCTTATTAATTAGAATAAAGAACATGATGTATATTTTACAGCAGGCATATTAACTCTGGAGTAATTCAGAAATGTGAACGGTGAAAATTATGTTTTGTTTGAAGTTTTTTAAATTGGTTTTTACTCGAGGCTAAAATTCTCCAGTTTTCATTAAAAAATATTATTTAAATAACATTATTTGGAGGGTCATTAAACTTAGTTTACCTTCCTCAACAACGTTTTTGTTCATTATTTTTCACGTTTTTTTTATAATTGTTAACAGAAATCTAAAAAGTTATCTGCTAATATGTTAATTCAAAACCCGATCTGATTATCGACAGGAATTTTCAATCAGATTACTTCTCACAAACTTCACAGCCATTTAATATAGAGCCTTAAAAGGCTTTTTTTTAACATAGAATTTTTATTAATAAGATTTTTCGCCTAAAATCCCATTTGAGAAAAACTGTATTACATTTTCATTTGTAAAGAATGTCGAAACTTCTGTCCATATTTCTGGTAAGCATACATTTTCAGTATTATTAAAGCAATATGACAGCACAAGTTACAGCAAAATCAGAGACTTAATTAAACACAAAGAACTTCACGGTACTTCACCTATCGACAAATCCAAATTTATCAAAAACTATCATGTTTCCTTAGTCGAAGCTTTACCGCCAAATCAAAACGAAATCTGCACAGAAAGTATAATTTGAGGTAAATCTTATTTTGAAATGTAAATTAACTTTGTTTCTTGAAAGTTTTCCAAATCAAAGAGCTTGAAGCAAGGTAATATAGCAATGTGCTAGATTAAAATACTATTTTTCTTTGTTTCTTGTATTTCAAGAGAGTGTATAAGTTCAGTACTTGAATAAAAAAGGTACTCACAGATAGTTGAAAATAATATAGCAGTTTCTTTCCCTTCCGAATCGTAAGATTTAATTAATCAAGTACAGATATGTAAAATTATTGGTTAATTTCAATAAAACAAATATTCAATATTATATTTATTTGTTTACATTGGTGTGATTTTCAGATATAATTAAAACAATGTATTTAATTTAATTTGCTTTTATGAGTATTTGATTAATTTTTATGGAACGTTGCATTTCTGTGGAAAAACAACTAATGATTTCTAGATTTAGTTTAGATAATACATTAATTTAATTAATATTATAAAAACGTTATGCGTCTGGAGATCAAATAAATTCTCCTTCTTCCTTTTTTACTTCTTTGTACGAAGTGAATGAAGTACTGCAATCGCGAAAAATTTCGGATATCATATTTCAAAGAAAATATCCATTTCGACCGCTCTCGAATTCATTTAAACGACTTTTCTTGCCTGACATCTGTATGTGCGAGGAGAATAAATGACTATTTTTTTCTTCAAAAATGGATTGTAAAATGGGTTTAATATGGATACAGGAGGGATTTTTTTCGTGATGTCGTATGTGCGTACATACGCACGTATGTATGCCTATCACATAACTCAAAAACGATTAGTAGTAGAACGTTAAAATTTTCTATATGCGACTGCTATATCATCTAGTTGTGCACTTCTCTTTTTTGCAGCAAACGCCGCACCAAACGTATATGTATATATTCTCTTATCCGGCTCGGTAAGTTCAGTTTTTCATTCTTCTTATATATTGGTAAATTGTGCATTTTTTTCCTCTAAATGTGATTGAATTATGCTGTTCTTATATTTTGGTTAAGGATTTTATACCTTTTAGTTAATCTGCATGCAATAGTTCCAGAGTTATCAACAATTAAACGTGTAAACGGCCCAAGGCCTAACGTGGCTGCTGTTTGTTTACATTTGGAACTCTTAGCTTTATACTGAATTAAATCAATTGGTGCACCAATTTCAATGCCGTTTTGCCCAGCGGGCCCAAAAGTTAACTTTAAATCTTTGTGCAACGAAAATATTTTCTTTCCACGCTTTGGCCGAGATGCTTGTTTTGGGGTAGAAACTCTAAATTTAATTGCAAAGAATTTTTTTAAAACTGTTTTTAAATCTGTTTGGTGTTTTCGGTTTTTCTGTATTTTATAATTTTTAACGAAGAGGTTTGGAGATTTTAAATATTTTTGCCTTTCCACGAAGTGAGAACTAAAATGATTGAATGAGAAATATATCTATAATGAAATTCGAGAAAATAAAGTTTAAATGAAATCATGTGGTCAAGGAAGTCATATGGTTGTCAGATCAGATATTTTTTTCTTTTAAGAGAGAAACTTGCAAGTTGATACAGTTAAAATAGCTTTGATTGTCTCAGGTAGAATACATAACAAAAATAGTTTCTGTTTGTAGGAGGAACATTGATAATGATTATTCCGAAAATTTATTTACTCAAAGCTTCAGCAAAGCATTAAATGGAATAACAATGGCATCACATTCGGAAGTACTGCTGACTTACTTGGCAAATAAATTCTTTCTTTTCATAAGCAACAACAGTTAAATTAGGAGCGATATATTTGGATTGTTACTTATTAAACAGTTAGAAAGAGGAGAACTTATTAACTTACCGTATACTGTGAAGGCAGCGTTTCGGGATCGAATACCCTTGACCCCGTCAGCAGCTCCTACTTGGCATTGAAATAAAGCATCATCTTCTAAAGTCACCCTGGATATTTGAAGAGAAAAGTCCCCTGAAAAGAAAACGGTCTCGGTTATAGATCTTTTTCTACTGACGTATAACTACAGTTTTATTAGCATAACAGCACAAAACAGTAGTATAACACAAGGTATCCAAAAAACAATAGTTTGATTTTGTGTTACTTGAAATGCAGATTATATTTACAGAAGTTTGTGTTTTAGTTCTCCCAAATCAAAAATGAGAAATAAATCTGTCCCATACTTTAATCAAGAACTAACTTTCTTTGCAATTATTGTGTTGGATGACTTGCACTTTCATTTATTGAGAAAGACTATAGGAAGCAGACCTATTAACGAAGTTCACACTCCGCTCCATTGAATTTCTTCTTTCATTATCACGAAGAAACTTTGATTTGTGCGCAAAAATATGAAATTTTGTCCATTTGCAGGGAAGAATATTCTCAGCAATCGTAAATATTAATTCCGGCGATTCCAATTTGAGTAAGGACAGATGCTAAGAAAGGGTTTCCACATATGACATACTTCTGCATAGCAAACACTGAGCCACTGCAATACTTTTTAGAATGTATATGAACTATAAACTGCAATAAAATGTTTATAAATAACATTATGTTTATCACTACATAAACTAACATCAAAATCCTTCCATTATGTTTTGGACACTTTGCATAAAGCAAAACTGAATTTAGTATTCATTAATAATAAACCTTAGAATATTCGACTATAATATCATTTTTATAATGAAATTTACAACTAAAATTATATTTCAGGCAGAGAATTTTAAAACGAAATTGAAGCTCATTGACATTTTAACATTTTGGAATTTGTAACATAAACGTTGAGAACATTTTTAATAAAATCTTTTCGTTGGGAAATGAGGTTAAAATAGGTATGTATCTACTTACAATATTTTTATTATTTGCACTAATAAATTTAAGCTTTATATTGAATTTTATCTTGGTCTTTGTTTTTATCTTCCATATCTTCTTGAAATAAAAAAGTTAAAATCTAAAATGGTGAAATTAGTTAATAACTTGAGTCGAAAGCTAAAACTGGTTTGAAAGATAAGCTCTCCAATAAATCGAAGATACAATTCCTCGTTGCTTTGTTTCAAAACTTTTAAGCAAGTATGCAAAAGTTTTTAGATAGTTTACATGGATTTTAATCCAGACTCCTGGGACGTGTGCTACCTTTGGTACTCTAAGCTAGACAGAAACTTGTTAAATTTCAACTATAAACCATATTCTAGAGAAACACAGGTCAAAAAGCTTATCCCGTGTTTACGATAGAATTGTTATGAAAGTTTTGGCCTTTATTATTATAAGAATGTAGAAACATCTGCTTTTGTTTGTATAGTTATAAGAAAGTTTAGTCCTTGTTACAAGAATGAAGGAAGAATTGTTTTTTACACAATTTTGGTAACTTGAGACAGATTTCTCAATAATGGTTTCAATTGTCCACCTTAAGTTTCAATTGTGCCTATTTGCTATAGACTAGTGAAATTTGTTATACTTCCATTTATATTTAGAACTTACTTATGTTTAGAACTTTGCAGTCAGAAAAAATAACAATGAAAGATGAGGTACATATGTTTCTGGTATGTACTGTACATGCTTCTTTGTTCAAGAACTAAAGCTCCAACGCTCTACCGATTATCATTCATTTCCTTTAATGCAATATTTATCTAATGTTTAGTAATTCATATATTGCATTATGAAAATAAAGGAAGTTTCTGGCCAAAATTATAAGCTTATCTAAATTTTTGTTTCTACTTTATTCGAAAATCTTTCCAAAGTTCTCAATGAGACATAAGACACAAAATAATATCAAATATAGCAAATTAGCAAGTTCATTAAAGTGATACAGAACGTTAAAAAAATAGCAGAACTATTAACAAGGAAAATATCTAGAACAAATTTAAAGAAAAATATTAATTAAGACACTACATACAAACAAAATGGAGCGAATTTTCACATAAATAAAGATTCGTACAGTTTTTGTACATAAGGATTAAATCAGACAGGAAAAAAATAATAAAACCACAAATAATGCTAGAAATAAAGTTGGCAATTAAAGGAAGGCAAAATTAAAAGCTAAGAAAGCATTTCGTCAAAAACAGATGTTGTACAGAAACAGAAATATAACCAAGCAGAATGAGAGAAGATATTGAGCACAGAAGAAAAAGAAACAAAATAAACCAGAATTAAAATACGCGAAAAGAAAAATAGAATACACTATTATATTAAAAAACAGAAATAAAAAATAAGATTGGAAGAAGACATTAAACAAATAACGAAAAACGAATTAACACCGGAGAAGCTCAAAAACACAGAAAGAAAACCAGTATCCTGAAAAAATATTAAATGAGGAAAATATAAAATATAGAGCCTAAAATAAAGTGCAAAAATTACAATTAGCGGTAAAAAGAATCAAATTGAAGGAAAAAAAAGACTTAATGGAATTAAAAGTAATGCGCTAGAAAAAGATATAAATAGAAGTACAGATAAGAAGTGCAGAAGCAAATGAAAATACACACACATATATATATATATGACAGAAAAAGCAAAATTTAACCAACTGTCGAATAAATAATTCGTATAAAAATTCTAGGTGCTATCATAATAATCAATGTGAAAATACAAACAGCGTAACACAGTGTTTTCACGAACACTGTGTTAACGGAAATCATAGGATCACTATCAATAACTTTATTATTTAAAGATTAAGACAGATATCAGGACCGCAGCCCGGAAAAAAATATTAGCTAAATATTAATCCATCGGTTATATACAGTGGACCGATGGAGTGGACATGCTGAAGCAAACTATACATTTTATTAAAATGGCTTCCAAGAGCATAATCATAAGCGCTTATATTTTGTAGGGGGGTATGAAAAAGACAGTGCTCATGTTCTTTGTTTATTAAAATGGCTTCCAAGAGCATAATCATAAGCGCTTATATTTTGTAGGGGGTATGAAGAAGACAGTGCTCATGTTCTTTGTCACATGACGTACAAGAATTAAAAAACAGAAATTACAGGATGTTAGGTTTTTTTCGGAGAGGGACAGGAAGCATGAAGAGTAGCAATGCCAACGCTGGTATTCGAACTCCCGATATTCCAACCGTTTGCCGGATGCGCTACATGAGAGTAATACTACTAGGCGTAAGTTACAAGGGCACACGGTTAGACTGGGAGATATGTATAGTGTCTGTGCGGCATGGAGGCAGTCTAAATATTCGGTGAGCCTAAAGTCCTCTCGAGAGGTTGTAGCAGAGGAAGAGGGGTAACAGACCATCGAACCCTTCCCCCCCGAGGTGCTCTCCTCAAAAACTGAGGACGGAACACAGCGAAGTTGTACTGTCACTTGTATGCTGTTCAAGATTCTTGCCAACGACAGGGTCAATCTTGCTCTCCTTTCGATGATGAATTTCGTGGGCTTGTTTTGATGTTACTGTCAGACAAGTGAGCTAAGTCACAACAACACAATAAGAACACTGCGACCAGACGCACGGAAAAATTCCTGACAAGCTAATGTTTATGGTTACGAAAGGAATGTTGGCCAAATTATGGCAAGTGAAATGTACCAACAGTGCGAATGTCTGTCGACGTGTATTTTATCTGTACATGAATATTTATAACGAGACGTAATTTCTGTTTCTTAAAGCACATATTTTCTTTAGATGTCTAGCATATTATGATACTGACTACTTCCCTTTCCTTTACGATAAATTAATGAAAGTATTTCTATCATCTGTAAATGTCTTTACAGTATTGGCTTAATCTACGTCTTAATCATTTTGGATAATTGCCTTGCGAAATGGAGAAACAAAAATGTAATGATTTGAGGTATAATTTTATTGCAACACTTTCTAAAGCATCTTCTGTTATATTTCATTACTAAACTAAATTTAAAAAATACCCTATAAATTCCCTACTATGAATCATAGCAAATAATTTAAGTTACAAAAGAAAAGTTGGGAAGAGAAAAACGAAACGCAAAGCCACAAATTACATTTTCTAAAAGCGAGCTATAAGTTTTCCGAGTTTGACTCGGAACAATTTCTTACCAGCTCAGAAAAGAGCCGCCATAGAGAAAAGAAGGCTACTTTTCTTCATATTTATTGGCTCTTTTATCAAATTTAATTGTTTTTATGACATTTATAGAAGAATGAAATCTACCAAAATTCTGACCTTTATAAATCGAACAACAACCATTCAATACAATTCCACGGATTATTTCTAAAATGAAATTTATTACAAGCTTCACTATCTCTGAATAGCATTAGAGGAAAACGAAAAAAAAAAAAAGAATTAAATGTCTTATATACCAACCAGCTCCGTCTGAGAGAAAGCAAATTCTTTTCGTAAATATAATCCTCTTAGAAAACAGTTCCATTCACTTTTAAATAAAATATTACCATCGCTGGACTAAATATGCATCCAAATAAATGATTTAAGTAAGTATTTTTTCCTCTGATTTCAAATTTCCTCTATTGCTGTGTGTTTTACTTGGAAACGGTCGTAAAAAGTTGGCGGATAATTTATTGCGGAGAGTACTGTGTAAGCCATATTTCTGAAGGTTTTTATTTTCGATTTAACATCCAGTAGAAAATCTATTGCAGTTTTTTTTTAAAGCGATAACGCACTATTGTAAGTACATATATTAACAACGTTCTGGGCTATTTCACAATCCTGCAGTAAAACAGCGTTAATGGAAAATGGATCTACAGAAAGACTAAGGATTTTCGCTCTTTCGTTCGCTTTTCTTTATTCGTGTCAATATTATTCTCGAAAGATTTCAATGCATTTTGTTACGGATGAATTCATCAATTAATCGCGAGTGAAGATTCGCAATGGAAAGAAATTTAAACATGACAAAACTGAGATTTATTTCCATCGAACTCTTAAGAATATCCGAAGTGGATTATAAATGAAATCTGCAGAAATAAAGTTTTTAGTCGATGTACAGCGCAGATAACGGAGGAAATAAGATTTTGATATGTTTTATTTTGTAACTTATTTCACAGATAA